TTAACTCTCAGACCTAGGGAATGTAATTTTAGCATATATACATAACTCCTTAAATATCTATCATTCCTGTATACTTCTTGCATTGATTAAGAGGAGCAGTATGACACAGGCTTTCATTAGAGATCTTACATTAATGAGGCCCTCTGCCAGTTGTTATCAAGAGGCCTCGGGTCATAAAGACAAAGACTGGGAGTGTGTGAATGTGTGATCTGATCAAGAGTGGGTGAGGGGGAGAAGAAACAGGAGTGGGATAGAGACAGATTGGAGGGGACAGGACAGAAGGGGTCATGCTTGAGCAAAATGTTATGAGAACTTGTGCCCACTAGATAACACTCCCCTGTAGAACTTGGAATGGAGTGATGATTCCTGAAACTCACCATTCCACTGCTGTCCGCAAATATTAGTGAAATCCACTGGCAATGTATGAGTCTGATCCCCTGAAGTGCTGGTCCACGTAGAGGATGACAAGCTACTATTGCTATCTGTTTCTTCATTAGCTCAAAAATGCAGAGATCCGTGTCAGGGATCTAAGGTTACACCACTGCTGATGATACGTGTGGGTGTCGGTATAATGCCACATGATGGATTTTCTGTTTTCTCAGCCTGCTTTTTTTAAAACCTAGGAAATTACCCAACAAAATAAAAAGAACAATGTTTGCAAAGTCAAAAACTCAGTCTTTAATTACATGATCACATATATTTTTTCCATGGAACCCTTGCCTCATTTAGAGCACAGGCTGGACCTGCCTTGGGGATGAATAAGGGTTGTGTAGTAAAGAAGACAAGTGTGTGTAGGACCCCTGCTTCATCTGTTGCAAAAGATGGGAAGTGTCTAGGAAATGAGGCAGAGGTCTGCAATAAGAGAAGGAATGGTCTCATGGTTGAATACTGCACTGGAGAATTTGATTCTGTCCCTGACTCTGCCACAGAATTCCTATGTGAGGATGACTAAGTCACTTAAATCAAACTTTCACAGGTAGTCTCTGTGTGTTCCTCATTTTCTAGGTGCCCAATTTGAGACCCTAGAGTCTGAGAACTGCCAAGCACTCGCTGCTGCAACTGAAGCCAATGGGAGCTTTGCTTTGAATATATGAAGTGAGATATAGTGCTAAGTACTCTGAAAAATCAAGTCCTAGGTGTGTCAAATTGGGCACCTAAAACTAGTGGATGCTTTTGACCTTAATCTCTCTGTGCTTCAGTTCTCCATCTGTAAAACTAGGATAGTGCCATAGGCGCCGACTCCGTGGGTGCTCCGGGGCTGGAGCACCCACAGAAAAAAATTGGTGGGTGCTCAGCACCCACTGGCAGCTCCCCGCCCTGCCCCTGCTCCAGCTTACCTCTGCCTCCAGTGCGCCGCCGTGTCCTGCTTCTCCCCTCTCCCTCCCAGCGCTTGCGCCGCGAAACAGCTGATTCGCGGGGCAGGGAGGGATGGGGGAGGAAGGGGAACATGGTGCGCTGGGGGAAGAGGTGGGACCGGGGCAGAGGTTTGGGGAAGGGATCCAATAGGGGCAGGGATAGGGCGGAGTTAGGGCAGGGACTTTGGGGATGGGGTGGGGATGGGGCGGGGCCAGGGGCGGGGAAAGAGGTGGGGGGGCGTGGGCACCCACCAGCACCGGAGAAAGTTGGCGCCTATGGATAGTGCTACCCGCTCATTTCATAGGGGTGTTTTGAAAATAAATGCATTAATGTTTGTGAAGCAAGCAGATGCTGTAGTGTTGAGCATCAGAGAAAAAGCTAATGAGAAAATGAATAATTTGTCTTCAGAGCAGGGTTTGAATAGTGTACAGCAATTAAGGTCTAAGCCAGACATTGAACAATAAAGATAAAACAAAATATTTAATAGCTGCTCATTAATTGAGCACTGTGCATCCTGTGCACTGAATGAGGCAGGAGTGCTGTGATAAAAATAGTATGTGATCATGTAATTAAAGACTGTATCATAATGTATTTGCACAAAGAGGTCAAATTAAGGTTGCAGAGACAACCTTAACTCTGACATTTCCTAACTTTTGAGTGTTTAACTTTGCAACCTTAATAATTTTCTTTTAATAGACTTTTGGATGTAATTTCCTAGGATTATTTTTAAAAGGCAAACCAGAAAAAGAGAAAAAAATAAGCACCCAGAAATTCCATTATATGGCATCATATTGAAATCCCTATTATTCATAACAGAGGTGGAAACTTAAGATCCACCACTTGAGCTGATAGAGTAATTAATAGTAGTAGTAGGTTGATATTTTCTATGTGGACCAGCACTAGACTCGGCTTTCACAGTGGGTGTCACCTATATTTGCTTATAGCAGAGTAATGGTAACACTCAGGGATGTTGGGTTGTATTCTAGGCTCTGGAGGGAAGCATGTTTAGTAGGAATATACTCTTCTTCCCTATCCCCTCCAATATGTCCCTGTCCCAGGCCTGTCTCTTTCTGTACCACTGGCTTCTCATCTGAGTCCCATTCTCTTCACATTGTCAGTGCTGGTCTCCACTCCTCAGGTTTTCTGATCTCCGTCCCAGTCTCCTTGCTCAGTAACTCCTAGTCTCACCCCCGCCAGACTCCCTGTCCTAGCCTCCTTACTCAGCCAGTCTGTTTCCTCCCTCCCGCCCTGACCTGTGTATCTTCCTCTCCACCCCAGCCTCCAGTGTCCAGTTGCCTCTCCCCGCACCCATGTTCCCTATCCTCACTTGCTTCAAGTCCCAGTCTCCTTCCTCAAGCTTCTCATTCAGTCTGTGTCTTCATTTCCCCAAACTCCTTGTCCCTTTGCCCAGACAGCTGCAGTTCACCCCACACATGCTGGCTCTTTGTCAAACATGTCTCCCTTCCTCCCACCCCACTTGTTCCTAGTCTCCTTGCCCAGCAAGTCCCAGTCTCCATCCCCGCTCAGCCTCCAGTCCCAGTCTTCACTCCCTGGCTTCTTGTCCCAATCTGAATTTCCAGCCTTCCACCACAATATCCTAGGTCAGGATCTTGTCCCCTTTGCATCTGAAGCAGATAGGTTCCCGCTCCACCCAGCCTGGGTACCAATAGGGGAGTCACTCTGCCACCCTGGCCTGGAGTAGCCATTACAGGGAAAGTCTGGGTTTGCCTCTGTAGCCCTGGGCTGGAGGGAGAATGCTCAGTCGCTCTGTGGGGATGGTGCATGCACAGTGTGGTCAGCACTAGGAGAGATGAGAGACTCGAGCATGCTCAGTGAGGATGGAATCTTTGAAGGTTTTAGCTCCTAAACTCTATAACTTAGCTGAACTTGGCCAAATTTTCATGGGGCAAAGGCACATCCATGACATAAAGAGTGTGCACGCACCCACTGCTGAATTTCAAGTCCCTATTCCAAAGTATGGAAATTTACCGAAAAAATTTCAGCCTGAGGCTGATAGCCAGCATAGAAAATTTCAGCCCAAATGGTTTGTTTGGCAGAGCTATAAGCAACTGAAAACAAGGTCTTATAATGGGAAGTGTTAGGCAACTTTAATAATAGGCAGTGCTACCAGTCTTTCCTATATTTCTTGTTGTTATCATTATAATATTAAAATTTGAAAAGGGTGAACATTAACTTCACTTCCACTATCTGTGAGTTCACACTAAAACTATTCCTGAGTTCCAAAATGTGTTTCCATATCTAGATTTTCCCAAAACTTAAGATGTTTGGATGTAGTTTTTTGACCTCCACTTTAGCAGGTACTTATAGTTAGGAGCGTGCTTATGTATCTTGTTGGATCAGGGCCTTGTTTTGCACCATCCATAGTTCATATCCCCTGAGTTTCACTTTGAATTTTTGACTTCAAATAGTGAAACTCCAACTGAATGTGCAATCAGAACTGCAAAGTCTCATCTGATTTTTGACGCGATAGCACAAGGTTAGCAGAGTTGCAAATTGGAGCCACAAATTGGCCTCTCAAATTGGCACTCTCAAAGTGCTTTTTTTAAAAAAACTGGGCTTAGTATCAAATGTATAGTGAAACTAGAAATCAGGTGAATTTCCAGGGGTTTAAGGTTTCAATGTACATATAAGCTTTTCTTATTATGCAGCTCCAGGTCAGCACAGCTTTAATAGGAGGCTGAACCATGTATGTGGTGTTGAATTATCCCCTGGCATGTACTTCAAGTCAAGCTATGGTATATGTAGCATTTTCATCCCTAATCCTTCCCAATAAAGATTGATTGCTTCATCTCTGCTGTATTGTCACCCCCATCAGCCTTACTCAAAAATTGCCTGAAAGTACAGTGCATTGCTGCTTTTCTTGCATTCACAGTGCTGGAAAGGAGCTATCAAGAATTTAGAGAAGTCTGTTGGTTTAGCCACACAAACCTGTAATCCTGAGGGTTGGGCAGGCTGCTTGGGGTCCAAAGGAGCCAGTGTGAACCTTCGCTTCAAACTGAGTCTGGTTCCAATCTGAGTCCTTCTTGGAGTAGGGGGTTTGAAAAATTTCAGTTAACTCATTTTCAGTTCCTTTTTCTTGTACATATGTACTTCAAGGGTGAAATCCTGATCCCATTGAAAGCAATGGCAAAACTGCAATTGAATTCCATGGGACCAGGGTTTCACCCCAAGTTTCTCTTTGGGACCAAAATCTGGAATGCAAGAATACCATAATTAAGACTACTGTTTAGCCTGACTGGAAGCAGAATGTAGATCTTGCAAAAAAACCTATTCTAATGAGATTCTCATTTAATTGTGCAGACTTGAATGTTACAGAGATGACCTGAATAAGCACCAAGTGTCCAATTCACTAATGTTACTTCAGTTTTGCTCCTGCGTAACTCCAATGAAATAAATAGTTTCACCAGTGTAAAACTGGAGTAATGCAGTGATGACTCAGGCCCAAATAACTTTTGTTTGCATAGGCAAACTGAGCCTATTGAGGTTCACCTTCTGCTTCTATTTCTGTCTGTTTTGCATAGCTAGAGCATAAGTGCCAAGTGTGAATATATGTATGTATGTATGTATATGTGGTTTAGTTGGATACTTTTGAGTTTTCACTCCATCTTCTTTATTTCCATCAGGGTGGAGTGAATGGCTTGACTGGAGAACTGGAATTTGCAGAAAATGGGGGGAATCCGAATGTCCATTTTGAAATTCTAGGGACCAATTATGGAGAAGATCTTGGCAGAGGCATCCGCAAGGTGAGACTAGATACATGGAATAAGAGTCTAATTTTTGCATGATTTACAGTGTGTTTTCTGTCCAAACAGCAAAGTAATTGATTGCAAATGATAAAACAGGCTGTTAGACTGAAAGAAGAACATAAGTGGGAAAAAAAGTCTTAAACTTCTGGGTAACCTTATGGTTCTTTATTGCAAGGAGGCATTACAATAGGTTATGTCTAACAGGGGAGTCTGATTTAATAATGCAGAATATGTTAACCTGTTGGTAGTCCTTCCCAAAAGAGCAGTGAAGCCTGTTCTGTAACAGCTACAACTGCTTTCCAAAACAGTAAGTTTTACATTGAAATGCTTACAGAGTAACCAGTCGTACACTGCAAACTGCATAAGGTCTGAATGAGGCACTATGATTGTTAGATGAATAGAATTCATAGCTATAGAAACAGAAAACCTACTGCAAAATAAAGTATTATAGTACTTTAGTATCTCTGTTTTTCTTGTAATAAGCAGAGAATGATTTAGTAGAAATGACATTTTATACCATAGATCTCCCATAAGAACAGGTACTATGAGTGCTAGACAGAAGGTGATTTCATGAAATACCATGACTCAGATTTTCTTTAGGAGAATTGTTTCAGTCCCAAGAGAAATAATTTATCTTGGCACTTGGGTATTGCTACATTTCCTGCAGAGAAAACTGTCAGTGGGTAAAGATGGTATGAAAGATGATAGAGGTAAATCTTTGGTTGAGATGATGTTGGTATCTTGTTTTTAGGCAGTTTTCTTCCAAGTGATTTGAGGTGGTAAATATAGAGAGACCTACACAGTACCTCTTAGGCAAAATCAAGACTTCTTGGGAGCAGCTCTCATTCAACAATTCAAAAAAAAAAATTCTGATAGATAACATTGGGACTGCTTGCCATGATGTACTGGCCCACTTTCTTATTTCACATAAGTGAGGGACATGAGGTGGCTAACTTAGAGCAAGAGGATGGAGGAAAATGTTTTACTTTCAGTGTGCATAAAAAAGGGAATCTGGTCACATGTGAAAGTCCGTGCATGCTCAGCTATGTTGTTCACCTACATACATACTACGATGAAAGGCGCAATATGAACCCAGGAGAGGGAAGGTGTGTCCACAGTCCTGAAATACAACTACCTGCTTCTCTACCTGTTCCAGCAATGGAATTGTTATTCCATTCATGTTCTGTCAAGTTTTGTGCCATCATCTGTTGCTGATAACTTAATGTACACAATGTGTGCAGCCATATCACCTTGAACAGAGATTCTGTGGCTGGATCTTGTTGATACTTGGATGTGTCCTTGACAAAGACCCTGACGACCAAACTATTGGACCTTTCCTTGTTCTCTGAATAATAACTTGAGTCTGATTTAATATTTCTGAAATTGTTTCATTTTATGTATTTAAAGAACTATTTAATTTTAAGAGCAACAGGCTCATCTTTCCTCTGAACATCCAGTTGTCTTTATTTAACTTAATTAGTCAACTTGGACTCTTTTGTGGCTGCAAGCATGTTCGCTTGAATATTGTGTTCAATTCTGGTTGGTCTCTCTCTCTCAAAAAAAAAAAAAGATAGAAGGGACCCAGAGACAGGCAGTGGAAATGAACAGATGCACAGAGAAACTTCTATATGATGAGAGATTTGAAAAGTTTGCTGCAGTTAAGTTTAGAGAGGAAACTCATAAGAATAGGCAGAATAGATGTATACAAAATGATTAGCAGTGCAGAGATGATCATCTGGGTGTTCCTGTACTCTTTCTCATAATATAAGGACAAGGAGACATTCACTGACACTGAAAGAGAATGTATTTAAAGCTGGTCAAAGAAAATAATCTTTCTACCTAGGACATAATTAACCTGTGAAACTTATTGTCACCAGATCCAGTTCTGACAAGGACCATAATAGGATTAAAAAGAGACATGGACATTTGGATGTTCTTCTTTTCAATGTATTTTGTGCGATGAACCTTTATAAGTAATATAAATCTCATTTGGTGTATAAGCCCAACTGGTATCTTCTTGCAGTTTATAAGAAACTTCCCCTGTGGGCAAGTTACTTCATAAATGGTCCATCCTTACACTTTTCTCTGAAGCATATGATATTGACTGCTGTTAGACACAGAGTATTAGACTAGATGGGCTGGTCTGGCATTTTCTATGATTCTCTGTAAATTTGATAATTATACTTGCAAAGGCCATTTAAAAAGCAATTACACTAATTCAATATAGATAAGGTAAAATAATATATTTATTAAATTATATATTTATATATTTTAATTGTCAAGCGATTTAAAATATCATCCTTTGATACCAGATCCTTACTACTTGGAGCTAGATTTGAGATAATATTTTCATGTGATACTGTCCAGACCACAACATTGCTCAGTTGATCGTTTGAGATTATTAACCAAAGTTCATATTTATTCTGATTTAACTTGACTAAAATTGTACTTAATGTCCTGTAAACAATGTTGAGTACACATCATGATAATTAGAGGACTCAGATATCTGTGTCATCAGCACACTAATCAAAATCCACTTCATGTTTTCTTATAGAGGACCCAAGCAGAAGCATATATTAGGAACCACCTAAAGCTTTGCATTTCCCTTTTTCAATGGAAGCAAGTGCATGTAGCAAGCTGACTGATATTTCTAAAAAGTGTATTCCATTTTTGGGAGCATTCCCTAATTAGCATGTTTTATGTAGTTGTAGGGGAGGCTGGAGGGTGAAATCATGGTAAATGTCCCATTGAGTTCAGAGGGGCCAGGATTTTCCAATAAATTAAGTGGGTGAAAATCAATGAGATTTAGGTGCCTACGTCATTTAAGTGCCTTTGAAAATTTTACCCACCTTCAATTATTTATATCCATGGAAACTTCTTAAACTGTTTGCTTTAAAAAAACTTATAATGGCCTCCTGGCTTTCTAACAGACACATCAAACCATGTAGACACCATTCAGCAATTATTTCATAGAAGTATCCTCTACAAAACCTTAATGGGGCTGCTCTGTCATAACTAAAAATCAGTCACAACATTGGAAAGTTCATGTTCATGACAATGGAGTTTACTGTGTGAAGAGGCCTTCATCCTGAGGAGAGAAACACAGAAAGTTCCATTAATAAATGTAGCAACAGAGTTTTCTATCTACTCCTAAAGAGTTGTCTTCTGTGTACCACTTGGGATCTGTGAATACCACAGTGTAGCGAAGTCGTCCTGAGTAGATGTCCTACACACAGCACATGGCTTATAGGCTGGCAGTGTCTAGTGCTTGGGATACAGTAGGCTGACCATTGCTAGATACCGGATCAGTCAAAGCTAACATGGTATGAATGTCCTAAATGAGCTATAGAAGGACTCTTGCTTTTACACATAAAACTGTTGTTGGAACATGTGCTGCGATAGATATTTTGAATGGGAAACACTGTAGTATTTTTGACATTTGTCAGTTGGTATTTGACCTTTCTGAGAGTATGTATTTTTTGACATTTACTTTTCAGAATGAGGTGTTTTTATCTATACCACTGATATACAAGCTGCTATTCTTCTAAACAAGCAGCCAACAAACAAACAAATGAACAAAAGGAGGTTGAATACTGAGAGGAGAATTGTTTTGTGTGATATAGAAAAAAGCTCTGCAGGAGAAAAATGTCTTGTGTTTCTCCCAGCATTCCTGTTATTCAAAATAGGTTCCAACTTATACTTCACAGATTCAAAGATGATATCTCTCCCAGTTTTTGAGAAAAGAAAAATTTTCCATTTGAATTATTTGCTGCCTAGGGTTATCTATAATGCCTTCTGTATTTTTGCCTGCACTTACAATTGTACGATTATTTACCTTCACCCTCCATACCTGCTCCTTGCGCTATCCCATTCCTTTTTCCTGGCTACTCCTCTCATCACCTTTTCCCACTTTTGGCTTTATACTGCTCCCTATGCATAAAACTGTCTCCCTGTTTACATCTACCCATCTTTCACTCTCCACCCCTCAAAATCTTCCTTAAACTCCAGTTCTCCAGGCAGGGCCCCAATGTAGGGAGCATGTCAGAGGAATTCAGGCATGGGAAGGGGGCAGAAGGAGGCATGCTCCATAGGGATTGTGGAAGCAAGAAGCACAGGTTAGAGCAACCCCAGAGCTACTTAACCTGAACCCAGGCCAGTTCCTCTGAGAGTGAAAGAATGGGAACACAGTGGCAAGATTTATTTTCACTAAGGATATGTCTGTACTACAAATACCCGAGTTAGCTTTAATCTCGTTAGCTAGAGTACTGGGGCAGCAACACTACGGCAGCACACATTTCTGTGTGGGCTAGCCCTATAAGCATCCAGATTCTAGACAGGCTTGTACAACGTACATACTACTGCTGCTTCACAGATCTGGTACCTGAGCTAGCTAAATTAAAGCTAGCTTCGATATGTCAACGCAAGCGGCAATCACACCCCATGATTGTAGTACCCTAATTGTGAAGGGCTACTACATCTACACTTGGAGCTGAGGTTTTTGATTCCCAGTGTTGTAAACATACTTGCACTAACATGCTCAAAATTATAGTGTAACTGTGGCAGCACTGGCTAGCCACCCAGAGTACGAACCCTCGGGATCAAGGACTAAATGTTAATTAATTAGAATGGCTTTTTGATGTTCAAATTGGGTTCTCATTGAAGCCATTTCATTCACTCCTATGGTGGAGAGGTTTCAAGGTTTAGTATTGCCTGATCTGCAGACAGCACTGGTTCTGTAGGAACATAAAGGAGAAAAATAGACAATCAAAAGAGAAAAATAAAAAGAGAGAGTGGAAAGGTAAAATGTTTGTGTTGTAGACTGAACCAGGGAAGATCAAGATGATGCTAATCAGAAGAGGTAAACACTTTAAGAGCAACAGAACCTCACTCTCATTTTGAAAGCATATGGTCCCAGCAATTAAGTTCCTGTGCAGTCTTGGGATCATGAAAAACTCATAACTAAACCTGGAAAATACAATTGCGGTTGTTATGGAAGG